TTTTAATTAGATATTTAAACCCCGATATGACTTAATTTGCTAAAGAAAAAATATAGCGTATTGTATTTTTTCTCTTTGAAAACTACAAGAACGTATAAAAAAAAATTTGAGCCCGGATATTATTTTGCGGGCCGATAGCGCTTAAAGTATAAAATACATAATACATAATATAAATTGAAAGAATTTTACAAAAAAAAACCTATCTAAATAAAATCATTATGAAATCATTACATCGATAAGGCCCAATTGTTTACTAACAAACTTATGTACTATCTCGAAATAAAAATTATTATTATTAAAATAAGTTCCTTTAAAAATATTATACTCGTATATCGATACGTTTACTTATTATAAAAGGTCGTACTTGTCATCATAGCTACAGTACGTATGTCGTTGACAATGCTAGTAAATGTCAAGGCAAAATGAGGAAAGCTTCAAATGATCTAAAAATATTCTATTGATATATACATTATTAAATCTTTTATGTTATAAATGCGAAAATATGTTTGTTAGTATGGCTTTTTTGAACACAATAAGAAAATAACTAGTTGATGTTACTATTTGTGTACAATCAGTTTATGGATCGGAGAGTAATTTATATGCTACTTTTTACGAGTTACTCATCTGAGTAAAATGAGAGAAGAGATTGAGGGAGAAAAGGAGAGTTACTTGTCAAATATAAAAAAAACTACAATTATTTTTAATTGTATAATAAGTATTATTTTAACATATTAGGTATATTTAATCGTATATTAATATTTAACTGTATTTAAACATAACTTATATTTGTTTTAAACTAGTAACGGGATCAAGTCTTGTTATTTTTTTTTTCAAAATTATTACAAGTTTTTCAACAGATTTGTTCATAAAATTATTTATTATTTGTGTGTTTATGCGCTATCGCCCAGGAAAGGCTAGACTAATTTTATTGCAACGGTATGTGATGTACATCTTATTTTTCGAACCAAAACTTGCATTCATACAGAAACGTGGTAACGGAGAGTATCTGGGCTGGTAAAACCAAGTTACAAAGTATTATTCCGGTAGATCACGTAGATATCGTACAACAGTAAGTATAGTGGATTTTTTTTTAAACTAATGCTCCTATATGTTATATTCTATAAAATAATTTTATTACTATGTGCGAAATCTTCCAATCGTCTATTCTTATCGTATACCATTTTACCGTTGCAAAAATCGTGATAATACTATTTATAAAACGTACCTATTCGTATGTTACCTATTTTTACTTATTACACTTTTACTCAACTGCTTAATGACAGTTTCTGAAAATTTAGATGTTACAGATATATTATGTTAACACTCATTTTTTACATAATGGCGTAAGAATTTCAGTTGTCACGAAGATATTAATAAATAAATAAATATGGTATAAGTAAATAAATATGTTGGGACATTAACACACACCACCATCTAGTTCCATGGTAAGCTACGAGGCTTGTGTTATGGATACAAGATAGTTAATACACTACACATATTATATAACTTTCTATGCATACATATTATAAATATAAACACCCAAGACTGGAGTACAAACATTCGTGCTCATCCCACAAATGAATGCCCCCAGCGGCACTCGAACACGCGACCGCTGGCACAGCAAGTAGGGTCACTACAAACTGAGCCATGTCCCAACATATAAAAAAATATATAATTAAGTGTACAATTGTTAATATATATAATTAAGTATTTTTGTAATTTCAATGTATTTCTTTATTGAAAATAAATATGATCCTAGCAAGCATAATAATGATAGTAATGAACGTGAAGTAGACTGTTATGTCGTTGTTACTTCATCCATACTTTTCATTACTTTTTGTAATCCATTCAGAGTTCAGTGAAGTACATCATAAAAACAACCTTCAATTAGAATTACGATCAACGTTTATAAATCTGATACTTCATTTAAGTAAAAAAATCTATAAAATCTATACAGGTAAGAAAAAACAAGTATATGTTTGCAATGTCAAAATAAAAGCTTTTTACTAAACTACTGCCTGTCTGTTTGTTTGTTCCGGCTAGTCTCCAAAACGGCTGGACTGTTTTTGATGGAACTTTCACTGGCAGATAACTGATGTTATAAGTAGCAAGCTACTTTTATTTTAGAAAAAGAATTCCGTTCAAAAAAATTAAAACGTACCTACCTAGGTACGCATCCGAGCAAAGCGAGGTTAAGTCGCTAGTTTTATATAATAACAAAAATGCTGTTCGTTGGTAAGTGCATCACTTGAAAACAACTGGATATAAAAAGTTTTATAATATAATACTTTCTTAGATTTACGCGAATATTTGACATCTATACATATAATAAAATTGTAACTAAGCCGAATCTGTACATTAAATATTTTTTGGAAAATCTTATTAACATAAACATTATTATCGATACAGAGGCCGATTCTATAGTTTTTAGAATTTTTTTCTGTCAGTCTGTCTGTCCATGTTGTAAAACCACTAGAGGTATTTTGATGAAATTTGGTATGGTGATAGCTGGTTATCCGGGTCAACATATAGGATAGTTTTTACCGCGGGAAAATACCTCATTTCTGAGAAAAAATACAAAAACTGCTATGTAAGAGTAAACTAATATGTAAAACCTAAGAATTTGGTTTTTGGTTATCTTAACGCGAGCGAAGCCGCGGGCAATGCTAGTTTTAAATAAAACTACTTTTTCAGATTATTTCGCGGATTTATTTTGATTCTTGGTTCCCGACGTTTCGAATGCTTTACAGCATCATGGTCACGGGAGAGACTAAGGTTATAGACGTCTCAAACACATACTTGTTAGAGACAGTGCCTACCCACTATTTTACAAAAATGATTTCAAAAATTCAAAAATTGCCAATTTATTATTAAAGCATTCGAAACGTCGGGAACCAAAAATCTAAATAAATCCTCGAAATAATACGAAAAGATAGTTTTATTTTATAATATAGTTAAATATTATATACCAATTTGTGATGTATTCAGACATTAATAATTGATATATATGTAAATACATAGATTTGTTTTGCTAGCACCAACACTAAAAATATTTGAATAGAAATATACTAAAAGAAAAACTCTATTCAGTTATTTTTTATTTCTTTATTATTCAAAAGTCGGTTAACATTATTTTTTAAAAGTTTTTATGTACTTCTAAGATTTCTTAAACTATATCCGTAGGCCTACAGGAAATGAAACCATATTGGTTGGGCAAAAATTATTTTATACGAGTATATGTACGCTTATTAATGCAAAGACGCAATATAAACTCTACCAAATGCATTTTGCTTATTTAGCATACGTCATGTTAATTCCAAATGAATACCTACACATACATATTACGTAAAAATGTGTTGTTTACATTGAAATTTGAGAACAGCGTGTCATCGCAGTTTTGAGTATTGACGTTAACGGATGCCTATCATAATAGAATATTCTAATTTAGCCAGAAGACCTATTTATCCATTGCAAACGCGATCTTTACGAGTGAATGAAGCGCCAGGAAAGTAACACCTACTTGCCAACGTCCATGCAACAATCTTTATTTATAGCAGATCACTGCTCAATTGCGATTCACAAAAAAATAAACAAAAATTTCTTCAAAATGTTATAGAATCAAATAAGAACCATAACACGAATTCGTATGTGATAATTATTTTTATTTCTGTTTTTCCTTATAATTATGTATAGAAGGTTTTTAGTTTTATTTCGCTGGTGTTTGTTTCATTTTGAACATCACAATGAATATATCACGGAAAACAGATATTATTCATATTAATTCCATCGCATTCTCTGCTTAATTGATATAATGATCCGCATACTACTTACAAATAACAAACAACTTAATTTCATTATGAGAAATATTTATATTTTTTTAATTACTTTTATACTTTTTTTTAATGGTTTTTGGAAGAGTAATAAACTCTATAACAAATAGTTGTAATACATGTTATATGTATAAAACCAATATAATATGTACATTGTATACATATGATGGTTCAGTGTCGTATACATATAATAATATATCGCAAGCATAAAGCTACAAAAGGGCGTGCGAAACAAATCACAGGAATGAGTTTGCGGCTTTGAGTCACCAAAGGCCATTTAGTACCGATTTAGACGATCCAAATATTTTCACGGACGACGACTTGGTTCTCAGTTTCTTACTGAAACATTTTACAAAGAAAAATCAAGCACTATGACAAAAGGCGCTAACTGCAAAAAGGTCTCTTGAAGTTGCCTTTAAAATTGTTTTATAAATCTCTACATATTAAAAAATTAAGTGAAAGGAGTCTAGGGATGCTTGTAAAATGAAAAATAATAAAAAATGTTTCATTTAAAATAAAAATTATTATTTATTACTTTAAAATAATTTATTGCTGATATCACATAGATCCTAATGACTTCTTTATCTGTTTGTCTTTACGTAAATATGATAAGACATTCATCATTCGACCTTGCTGTTACAACACAGTAAATTGCCACTAAAGTTACAAATACGATGCATCTTTTTATGAGGTCAGCTGTGTCCAGAAATCTTATTCAAATACTGGAATTTTTAATCCATGTATAATATTTACTTTAACTGATGGACAACTACATTTAAAATATTATTTACACTAGTTAACACTGTAACCAAAATATAAATATGTGTTTATTTAAAAATACTACAGACGAAAAATTTTTTAGAATGTCATTGAATATATTAATAATTTTTATTCAAAGGTAAACAACGTGAAAATGAAATGAAATCACAGCCCAAAAGGTGAGCATGAGCGTGATATAACAATAATAATATAATGTATACGTATGTTAATACCGCTAAAATATATAACATATTTTAATTGATATGACTAGAACTTACCTATTTTACGTGGTCGTACCTTTTGATATTTGTTTTAAAGTTACTTTATATTTAGATTATCAGAAACACTCATGCAATTCACATACAAAAAACAACTAAAGCTAAATTATTTAATTTTAAAGAGTTAGTATCACTTGTTTCGAAAAAGTCTTAATAAAAACTTTCCAACAGTTATTACTAAAATTACCACGGCACAAAATACCACAACATGCGCAGACGCTTGTCCTTTTTCCGACTCACCAGTGCCACCTTTACTATTGTCCTTCTCGTGTACAGTAAATTTCACAAACTCTTGCATATGATTTGGTAATTTCCTTACGTCTTTTTCTTCTCCTGCTTCAATAACTTTTATTTTATGTTCTATTATTTTCGGTTCCCTATACACATTTTTACCAATTTCTACTTCGTCTTCAGTTTCAGGATCCCTTATCCCTAATTTATACCATCTTTCTCGAGCTTTTGATATGAATTCCTGTTCAATAGGATTATTCACTTTTGAATCTAAGTTTTCTAACACTGGCATACTTTTTGATATTTTAGTGTTTCCAGGCATTTTGGTGATTTTTATAACTTTTTGTTGTTTTCTTTGTTCTCTCTCTGCCATTTGGTTTACATACTCAGAATACATTTTTTCTCTAAGTAATTCTTCCTGGCTACTACTAAATAAAGAAGACATTTTTCGTCTATCTGAGTGTGTAATACCTTGGGATGTCGAGTATGAAACGTCTTTATTGAAGAAATTGCTATATTTGGAGTCATATGCTTCAAATCCACTTACTTTTTCCGTTATCATAGGAGCCCTAGGACCTCTATTACGGACAGCTTTATTTTTTTCCTGTTCTAGGCGATGAATTTCTGCATCTACTTCTATTTCTTTTTGACGTATATATTCCATTTGCTGATCACACAAGTCCTTGGGTAAAGAAGGTCTTCGCGGAGTAACATGATTTTTATTTACATCTCTTAAATTAATACAGTATCGATGCATATTTTGTATTGAAGAAATATCGCTTTCTATTTCTTTACTTAAATTGCCCGTTGAATAATGAAAATATTTTTTACTGTTGCGCATACTTTCAAATGAATTTTCTCTAAAATTAGAATTGTCATCGCTTTCATAAAAGTAAGTAGATAGTTTCCGTGGTTTTGGAGGAGGTATTGGCTTAAAATGTTTTGATAAGAAAGATGAGTTTTTAATGCTACTGGTAGATGCATCTGAAAAATTTGCTGAATCGATTTCTTCTAGAGCACGTTTTGAAAATGATTCCTTGTGAGATACTTCTCCTAGATTTCTATCGCACACTGAATTCTTGATCGATTTATTTGGATAAGAAGAATCTAATAATAAAGCTAATAGGCGGCTACCTGTCTGCGATTTCATAGACAGATCACCTATTTCTTGTTTCGTAGATACATTATTCTCTTTCGACAATGTTGGGGGTGAAAAATGAATAACATTTTCCTTAGCTTTATCATCTTTTTGCATCATGTCATCTTGTTCAATAATAGTATTAGTCTTTTCCATTAACATTTTTTGTGATGGTGACAAACATTCGTACAATACATCAGTCTGTGTTTGTACAGTACCTTTTCTTTGTTCATCTGAGGTTTTCTTCAAGGATGATTTTCTAGGTTGTATTGGAGGAGGAACGTGATTTTCTTTACGTTGCAAAGTTGTATTATTAGACATTTTAATTGAGGCACTTACGTCTTCATTTTGTAAGACTGTTTTGCTTAAACTATCTTGTCTTACGAAATTTTTACTTGAAGTCGAAAGTACGCTTTTTTGTAGCCGTTCAGATACGTTAGCCAGTTCTTCTAATATCCTATGGCCAAAAGGAAAGGAAGTAATTTTCTTTAAGCATATATCTTTTAAAGATACAGGATCTGTCTTGATATAATAAGCTGCTTTTATTGGTGGTTTTGTAGAAACTGACTGTAGAACATCTTTGACGTGACTAGAATTGATTTCCATATTTTCTTTATTAAAATTTTCATTCGTTTCATCATTTATAATATTAGATACATCATTAAGAGAAGAATAATTTGGATTATATTTAGCTGTGCATTGGGATGAATCCAAACTACTAGAAGAATCTTGACGGATAATATTATCGTTTGAGGAATCTTTATTTTCAGAATCAGTTACTTCTTTGATTAAATAATTGATAGCATTATTGAGCTCACATTTTAAAACCTTTATTTTCAAGTCATACTCATCTATTTCTTTTGCCGGTTTTGGAATAACTTTGGATACATTATCATAAGTAGTATCAATATTTTCAGAAGTATTTGGCGATATACATTTAAAATGTTGAGTCTCATCTAAATCTTTAACAGTCAAATTAGTATTTATATTTTCAGTACTAAGAACTACGATTTCATGAGAATTTGTTTTGTCTATAGATTTACTATCAAGATCTTCTTTATTTTCGATGGTTTTATCATATGTCGGACAAATTGTAGATGCATCAGAATTATTTAAGTGTTCTTCTTTTTTATCATTACTTTCAGCTACATATGAATTTGACAATAATATTTCAGTATCAGTAACCTCAATAGTTGGAGTTATGATTCGCACAGATGCATCTGTATCTTCACATATATTGTCATCATTAGCGTCGTATATTGAGCTAGTACTGCTAGAAGAATCTGTTAAATAAACTAATTCAGCTCCAGTCATTTTTTCTATAGTTTTTACAGTCCAATCTCCTCTAGCCTCTGATATCTCAGGCTCCTTCAGCTTAGCATCAACTCGAATACATTGTTGTGGTATTAAATGCTTAGAAGTGGACTGTTTTTGCTTAAGTTCAAACACTTCATCTTCGAGTTCCTCAGTATCGCTTTTTTTGTCACTTAAATATGACTGACGACGTGATGTTTTAGAAGAGTCACCGCTACCTTCCTCATCAATTACAGCTAGAGATCGTGAAGGTCCAGCTCGTGTACATAAATTATCTTCTGCTAATCCTTTCTTTCGCAATCTGTACTTGATTTCGCTATTAATAATGTGTTCTATTTCTGTTTTTATATCCCCCGAGCTCAAATTTGAAGGATTTGTAGATAGATTGAGTGTTTTTAAGTAGTGTCGTAAAGATGTCTCTTCTTCAGGACTTAAAGATTTGGTCTGTTGACAGTGAGCAATATTTAACGGTATCGTATTATCTGATAGATCACTTTCAATTAAACTGAATTCATCATTAGGTAAATTAAATTCCTTAACATTTTCCCACTCAATGTTTGATTCTTCACTGCTAATAATAGCGTTTTTATTGTCTATGATTATTATTTTTTTATCACATTCTGCGTTTGATTCTTCTGTTATTTCAACTATGGTAGGACTATCATCGTTGTCACAACTCTTACTTTTTATTGTACTATCTAATTTGTGTTTAACTGTAGAAACCTGTTCTGGAGTTTCTACTATATAATTCTGAGCCAAAGAGACATCTTCACTTTGTTCCTTATTATTAAGACTATTGACATTATTTAAACTTTCTAAATCTGGTGGACTTACTTCAGGGGGGGCGTCAATAATTAACTTCTGAGCCACCACATTTGCATATCCCTCAGTCTCTACAGCACTACTCTGACTAGATTCTTTATTTGTATTCCCCGAACAAGATGCAATAGCATTTGTTTCATTTTCATCAATATTATTTTTATTAATATCTATTCTATTATTTTTATTATTTTTTCTTTTATTTTTATTATTTTTACGTCTTCTAGGCTTCTCTGGCATAATGGTAAATATAATCACTCACTGCTATCACTTAAACACTTTAATCATTATATAAACACGTCAATTTTTATCAATAGAAAACACGCTTCACAATGTACCCGTATCTAATGCGTAGGAGTGATTGCTTCGTTTACGTACGACTCTCGTACAAGGGTTTCGTATCGGTCGCTTGTAAAGGTCACGCAAGGGCTCATATACTTGTCTTTAAACTAATTTTCTTTTCTGCAAGCGCGCCCGGTCACGGTAGTCGTGCGCTCGCGTCGCGATTTACTAATAATTATAAATGGGTTGAAAGTACGCAGACGCTGCTGTGCGCTGTGGACTTTATTTTTACGCGGAGACGTGTACGCGAGCGGTACGCGCGGCGAGTCGGCCACGAGGAGAGTCCGCCGCCGGCTGCTCAAAACTAACACACGTCCATATTATCACCAGACGCGGTATAAATTGGTTATTGTTAATTAGTATTGCCCACACAATATAGTACCATTTTAGGGATGAATAACGGAGAGGAACTTATAAAACAATGGGCCATAACTTATATTAGGTATGAACTAGTATGCAGGCAACATTTTAATTTCTTCGCCTGTTCAATTTGACTCGATATTTGAATTATACGTATCTGGTAACATAATTCACGATAAACAGTGTAAACTAATATGATTCCGATATCTACATGTACCGATTAATTCTACATATAAAAAATGCATATGATATTATTGAAAAATCATTTAATATTTATATATAGACAAAATCTAAATATTCATTTCAATACAGTAAAATAAAAGAAATATATAAAATATTTTTATCAACGTAATAAAGTTATCTAAACAATTAAGAACCAGTGAAAAAATAAGAAACAAGAGTATTATCATTAGATGACCTTGAATTATAATAAAATTTTATTGTTTTCCGCTGCTGACGTATGTAATATTAACAGATAAAATTTACAAAGGCTATGAAAATTTTACATGGTATAGATAAAAATGTTAGGCCAATAATTTATTTAAAAATCAAAAAAGGCTTTATTACATCTATAAACTATATTTATAATATACATATAAAACAAAGTCGGGTTGGTTGCAACATTTATAACTCACGAACGGCTGAACCGATTTTGATGATCTTTGATTTGTTGGATTTGTCTCCGCCCTGAATAACTATTAAAACATCGGAGAAAATGACGTTTTTTTTTTTAAATTTACATGGCTAACGCTGGTCAATAACCATAATTGTATCTATTTAAAACGTACGATAGATTTGTTTTTGTTTTTCTAGAGGCGAATCCGAGCGAAGCGAGGGTGGCTGCTAATTTAATATAAAGATCAAAAAAATTATAAGACTTACACATTAGGTTACAGCTATAATTCATTAAAAAAGAATACTTGGATACATACATATATACATGTATATAATATACTAGCGGCTCACCCTCGCTTCGCTCGGGTTCACCTATACAAAAAATAAATACAAATCTATCCCACGGGAACCGTACATTTTTTAAGGATAAAAAGTAACCTATGTGTTATTCTGATGTATGAGCTATATTATTGTAAAGTTTTATTAAAATCCATTCAGTAGATTTTGCGTTTAAAAGTAACAAACATCCATACATCCTCACAAACTTTCGCATATATACGTATAATATTAGTAGGATTAATAGTATAAAGGTGTTTGCTATGGTATGGCAATGGTGAACGTATAATGGAAATAGCTATGTTACTATGTTGATAATTTGTTCTGCTTTGGCTCTATAATTTAATGAAAAAGAAATTATAAATTCACTTAATATTTTATTTTTTAACACTTATCTAAAAATCATAAATTTATAGTCAAAAAACACTATTCGTCTAATGATAATCAAAGAAGATATTTTTCTGCTTTCCTACGTTTTATAAAAATTGGATATAAAAAAACTATCCTATATGAAAATAAAGGATGTTAGACATTACATGTAGTTCGTTACTGGCGTGGGCTAATATTAGACTAACGAGCCCCTACGTTTCTAGACTTGCAGGTCATCTAGATTGATTGAACGCTTCCAGTGCGCAACGTAAGGCTAATCATGCATGTTTAATGGCAGTCAAGAAAAAAGTGTTGAATAGAAAAATCTGTATTTTTATTTTCAATATTACTTAATATAACCAGTCTGTTGTATTTTTTTAAGTTAAATAATGTATGTCTTATATTTTTATGCTTATTCAAAATGAAATTATTATAAACTAGCGATTCTCCCTCGCTCCGCTCGGATTCGTCCCTACTTACGTTTTAATATTTAGTATAGATTTCTCAGAAATGAGATATTTTCCCGCAATAAAAAGTATGTTGACCCGGATAACCAGCTGTCATCATACCAAATTTCACCAAAATCTATCCAGTGGTTTCCCCGTGAAGCGGTAACAGACAGGCAGACAGACAAATATTCTAAAAACTATAGACTCGACCTCTGTATCGATAGTAAAGTCTATTTCAATAAGATATTCCAAAAAATATTTAATGTACAGATTCGGCTTAGTTACAATTTTATTATATGTATAGACGAGTGTTAGTATTTTTACCCGACTGCGCTAGAAGGAGGGTTATGTTTTTTTCCACTTGTTTTTCTAATTAAAAAACCATGTCCAGTCAAAATGGAAAAAGGCTATTATTTTTCTATTAATCTATTTCCATAAACAGAAAATCATATTTGGATTAGATTTGCAACAAAAGAGTTTAATAATTAATAATAAAACACATGTATCATCCGCACGTTAAAAACTAATAAATCAACTTACAGTAGGAAAATTGCCAGAAATCTAGCCACTTCAATATTATTATAATAGAAATATAACATAAAAACTACAATATTAATTAATTTCTTGAGTACCTTGTATATTATCATATCATACATAATACGCATATATAATTATATACAAATATGTATATTGTATAATTAAATGATCTTAATTTAGGTCAGGTGGTATTGAAAATTTAACCCACGACTTTTAAATTTGTAAAACTTATATCTACATCAATTTTATATATCCAGTGGGTATTATGATAATATGAAATTCGTTGAAACAATTTATTCAGGTCAAGTCTTCTTTCTAAAGAGTATTTAAAATGGGACTTGCTCCCATTCGATACACATTCAGAGATAATCTAGGTTTATCGTACAGTTAGCAAGAAAAACACTAGTGACGTTAAATTTTCAAGACATTTGTTTATTTTAATCTCGTTTTAATTAAGAAAATAGAAGACTGCAGCAAATAAAATGCGAGAAATTTAATTTAATTGCCAAGTCAATGGCGTAAATTATAAAATTCATTTAATTTTTACAGTTACGATATTTTTCATTTAAAATATTCATCTTTTTATCTGGTTTTAAAATTTCATTTAAATACGAGTATCTTGTTCTTTGTTAACTGATGCAGTTAACAAGTTTTGTATTGAGTAAATCCAATAGACACGAGCTAAATCTTCCTTGTGTTAGTCTATGACGTTATGTAAAGATGACGCTGCATCATTGATAACATGAATAATATTTATTTTGAGATAATTGAAGGTAATGCGCATCGAAGATTCTAAACACTAAATGAAACGAGCGACGGTGACCTTCCAGAAATACCACGCTATTTCCATTCGAACTCGACTGACTTTCTACATTACAATAAAATTTTGTATTATATGTTTGTGGTGACTGTAGAACAACAAACGGACGGACGTTCGGAATTGCGATGCATGACATAATCGCCGTACAGATCCGGACTATTGTGCCAAAAGGCCGGTACGATAACTGGCGCTTTTTTGGCATACGTTCAAAGGGTCATAAGGCAATTATATTTGGGAATTGTGTAGCTCTAAGAATATTATTAAATGAGTTTGCCCGTGACTCCGCTGGCGCATTTTTACTAGTGTTATAAGATATCCCAAAACTGTTACTAACAAAAGCTTTACTAAAATCAGTTCAGGCTGTTATAATTCAATATATCGTTGAATGTCGTTTTTTCTTCGCTGTTTACTACATTGCAAACACACAAATTGAGTGATCAATAACTAAATAACTATATAATATAACGAAAAAAATTGTTTATTTTTTTAACATTTACTCAAGTGAAATTTTATTTATAATCTATACATATAATAAAATTATAACTAAGCCGAATCTGTACATTAGATATTTTTTGGAAAATCTTATTATCGATATAGAGGCCGAATCTATAGTTTTTAAAATTTTTATGTCTGTCTGTCTTTCTGTCTGTCTGTTACCGCGTTACAGAAAAACCACTGGAGGGATTTTGTTGAAATTTGGTGTGGTGATAGCTGGTTATCCGGATCAACTTATAGGATACTTTTTATCTAAAATATCTAATTTCTAAAAACTGTTATTTAAGAGTACATATACTAATATATAAAACCTACAATTTGCTTTTTGGTCATCTGAACGCGGGCGGAGCCTTGGGCAATGCTTCTTTGGATATACAATGAGTCCATAAAGTAATTAATGAATGTCATCAAGACTTCTATTAGTTTATAGCTCTTAATAAATGAACTAAAAGTTTTAAATTATGTTCAGATGATTCAGATATTTCAAGCCAAATTTCACTATACAGTATACCTACCTATATAGAAACAATCAATTTAATTCTGGAACTCAAGGCAATATGATGCATAGGCATTATGATAGCACCCTTGTTTAGCAAATGAAATCGGGTATTGTCATACCGTAGACATTATCATTTTCGGGTCAGATACAAAACCGGCTGAAATTGCAATTGCTGTTACACCCGCACACTACAACATGATTTATGAAACTTAAGTCTTTAGACGCGTATTCAATTTTGCTGCTCTGAATTTTTGCTCAGGAGTTATTAAATTCATGTTTATATAATTCGTACTAAAGATAATAATGTTATTTCTTTTAATTTTAATACCATAGTAACTAAGACATAGAAATCTGAAGTACAATTCTTAAAGGAGCTATTTAAAGTAATTTAAACTCTCGATATAATTAAAGCACACGTTGAAATTAAGTCTACGGAGACCTCTTTACAGGATAATAATATTCTAAATTACAAACAAGGTTATTAAACAATGGAAGTATTTGGTTAAATTTAAAAGATATATTAAAACTAACTAAAACTGAGGCGGTAATCCGCGTACGCACACGTCATTTTAACTTTACTCCAGTAATATGAGCATGTCATATAATTTGGTAGAGTTCAAAATACTGCTTGTATTAAGGATCACTATAGAGATTTTAAAGTAGTAAAATATTTGAATTAAAAACTATTTTACGAAATTCCTTAGAATTTTTATAATTTGTAAAGACAAACTAGTTAAAGTATAATATAAGTATAATTTTAACTTCTTAATTAACAAGTTGAGCATCGAGAGTTAACATAAAAACCGGCTTTAAATATTTATAAGACACATGTTTTAATAAATAAATTGATAATTTCATATTATATAAACTTTAAAATAAGTACAGATAAAAAGTTTCAACACCAAACTTTTGAAATAATTATATATATAAACTTTGTAATAAAACGTTCACTTACGTTTCGTCGGAGTCGTGACGTTAGAAGGTGTGCTCGGAGATTTCACGGGTGGTCTGGCTGACAATACCTCACTAGCCTCTTCTGTTAACAAAACACAAATTATATTGGATTTGTAATTATTTTGAGCTCTTTTCTTTCTTTACTCTAATTTACTTGTGACTAATATATATATACTCGTATATATATACATATAAAACAAAGTAGGGTTTGTTACAACACTTATAACTCGACAACTGCAGGACCGATTTTTATGACCTTTGTTTTGTTGGATTCGTCTTCACCCTGAATAGCAGAATAACTATTAAAATATCGGTAAATTCACAAAAAAAATATTGAGAAAAAAAATCTATTCCGTACGAGGATAAACCTGAGCAAAGCGAGGGCGAGTCGCTAGTTATATAAATATACGAAAGTTTTTATGTGTGTATTTTATACTCCTTCACGCTTAAACGGCTGGGCGCGAATTCGGATGTAATTTAGCTCATAGTTAGACTATGATCTGGAGTAATTTATTAATTTAACTAGCGACTCACCCTTTGCTTCGGTCGGGTTCGTCCCTAGTTTACTTCCCAATACAAAATTCCATCCCCATTTTAACCCACTTAAGGGATGATTTCCCGGATAAAAAGTATCCTTTGTCCTTACCAGGCCAGACCATTACCATCTTCTTACCAAATTTCATCTAAATCGGTTCAGTAGATCCAGAGGTTAACTCCTACAACGTCACAAACTCACAAACTTCCTTTTTATAATATTAGTATAGATTTATTTAGATTTTTTTATCTTTATTCTTAATATTCTATTTATTATTTCTTAATATTCGCTATGAACTTTATAAATATAAAAATGGTCTTAGTCTGCATAAAAATTAAAAAGCGTCAAAGAATGTTTAATATTATCTTTGTAAACAGATTACTTTAGAGCTCGCGACACCCACGTTGCGCATTTAGTACTTATTTACTCGCCTCTTCTGTAGAGCTGTTGGCATAGCGCTTGCTATATTTCGTTTAGTTAGTGTAGTTTTCAATTTATAACATTTTTTGTACGTAAATATGATATTTTATATATTACATAATAATTTTGCTTACATACATAAAGATTTTATATGGCCGATTTTAACATACAGCATGTAGGTACCTATACCTATAAGTATTCATGTATTATATACATTAAAATCACTTTTACTTATTTCAAATGAATATTTGTCATATAATATATCTAGATATCAAATATGAAATGAAATGAAATATGAATATAACATATTTCATATGTACAATAAAGCAATATTATATATATTAATATAAAAAATACAAAATACATATTTTTATGTATAAAATATAATTATTATTAAATTTCAGATACTACAGGTTACAAGTTACAACTTAGTAATTTTAGTTTCAAGAATCTGTCTGCATTTAACCTACAGTGAAACAAATGATGAAAGCGTTTAATATTACGTTATTTTTAGAAATAAATATGTATATTGTATGTATGTCAGCCCATTTTACGTCCCACTGCTGGGCACGGGGACTTTAATACGAGGGGGAGTCCACCACGCTGGCCACGTGCGGGTTGGCGGACTTCACATGTCTTTCGAAATATTGTATATAATAATAGTAAAACGCACAACTTTATTGAAGATAATTTATTAGTAAAACAATGGATTGTTTTATTTAAATGTAATAATACTCGCTGGTCTGACGCTGTCCTGTCCAAATTTCAATACAACTTATGGTATTTAAGGTTATACAAAAATGTTATGAAAAAAAAATAGTTTCAGTTTCTCCTGAATTTCCAAATTTACCATGTAATTTTCCTTATTTTTTCCTAAACATATTTTTCGGTTTATTTAAGAGGCATTTCAATTTTTTAAAGTACCGTTTCCAAGTGAGGCGCTTACCAGCGAACATCATTTCATTTTCATTATATACATTATTTATTTATTTCTCTAAGATCTATAGATATATTATATATAAACATAAACCATGTAAACCTCCTAAAGGTTACATAGGGAAATTCTATATATACGAAAAACCTTATATATAGATAAAATTGAAATGCATGTTAATAACTTCACTTTGACTCACTGTATCGTTCATAATAAGACGGACGATTGCTATATTTGCACAGTTTTTACTTAGTTTCTAAATTAACTTTCCTATACTATCTATAAACAAATTACAAACACATAAGGTGAAATAGCTTGCACAGAAATGGCATAGGTATTATGTATATCAAATATGTTTTATAAAAAATAAATCATAAAATATGTCTTATGTATCTCTCCGTCTACGTTAGGTATATTATTTTGACCAGCGCTGTAAGTTTTGATTTTGATTTTAACTTCTTATTACTTCTTTATAATAGGTATTTTACAATCAAATCAGGTCTTAGAGGAACAAACAATATTTTCCTTAGAAAACATGGCAAGCATTTTATAATTTAAGCTACAACTGTGAAAGGAAATACTATTTTCAAACATAAATTATGAGCAAACTGGATTTTACTTTCATTAATACAGCTCTAAGCGGAATCGATGTAACACTGTTCGTTGATTTAAAGCTCATTACGATTCCGATTACCTTAAAATAGACGATTTCATTGAACAGAATTTTATTTATCAGGATGTTTTTCCCATTCAAGTTCTCAGTTTTCCTGACAACATGGAACTCGATTATTATTAAAATAACACTAAGCGCAAGTGTAGACTATGAAAATTAATGATGTATCAAAATCTAAAGTTTAAAACAATAACTTTAACTGTACAATCAATACAATCCAAATATATTTTTATAACAAGATGATTAAACAAGCAAAAGTGATAAAGGTAGTAAATCGTAAAATTAACAATCATTTGATTTGAAAGAAGGGCAACAAATAACCCATTTAGATACGATTGATATTGACATGGCTTGCTGCTTCATTCTCCACCTCATTTAAGATGAAATGGATCCGATACGGTCTCATTACCTAATATCGAAAATTCTCAAATACACCTTGATAACGTTCAAGTGGAAATATTTATTTCGTTTGATTTGAGAAATTGTTTTAGCGTTTACTGAAAATTCGATGACGCGTTAGAAAAGATTATGAAAAAAATATATTTGAAGGAATTGTTTAATTTTTATATTATTTATGTATAAAATTTGAAGTTTTAGTGCATGACGCTGTTTTGCAAAATATGGTTTGAGAGCCCTTACTCACCGCTACGACTCCTTAATATTTAATTTCACAAATCTATCAACATCCTACATATTGAAGCACGCTACTCACGCACAGTCTACCGACCCACTGTCACAGGGCAAACCCAATGACACTTGCCGTACGTAAATCACAATAAAATACCCGCTTTGTCCGCTGATTACGACACGCTGTACTAAACACCGGTCATATCGTCCTAAACTCGATCACATAAAAAGCTAATATAAGCTCAGATTACATGCACAGTATCAGTTACAGAGTGCCACACGTGAAGAGATCGTATTGTGTAAACTTCAGTTTTAATTACCTACATAATGCCATACTCTGGTTTATTATTTTTTCCGATGAGATTTTCTATTGGCAATATAAGCTTAATATACAATTTCCCCTTTACAACTTCAAAAATTACGAACTTTATCCCTTATTTAACTACTATTGGAAGTAAATTTTCAAATATTTGTCCTTATAGTTCTCACCTTCCTAAAGATTTTTTGTTAGAAAAGAATGTTTAAGCATGTAATAAGGCTTGGATATCAAAATAGTTTAACAATGAAAAATTTAAATATTCTCCACGTAAGTTAAATTAATACTTAGTAAACCGATTCAATTTTACTTTAATTTATACTAATATTATAAATGTGAAAGTTTGTGAGATGGATGTATGTTCGTTACTCTTTCACGCAAAAACCACTGAATGGATTTTGATGAACTTCACAATAATATAGCTCATACATCACAATAACACATAGACTACTTTTTATCCCGGAAAAATTTACAGTTCCCGTGGGATAGATTTGTTTTTGTTTTTCTAGAGACGAATCTGAGCGAAGCGAGGTTGAGCTGCTAGTTTTATATTAAAAAACAACTTCAATAAGTATAAAATGTTTATATATGTATTTTTCTATCATATGTTATACTTAACGGGTAAATAAAGTTATTTTGGAAGCACCGAGTAGCGAACTAATGATGCGTTAGAATCTTATTAGAATAGATTTATCCTACTACCTGCTAGACGTATCTACTCTCGATGACATTTACGATAATAACCAGTGTATAGATTGACCTAGTACTTAAAATCGCATCATCAAAAGTATTATATTAGATTTCACTTTGTTTATTGCTATTTAATTAGAAGCATGTCCTACTTTATACCACACTTGTGATGTTAAGCGTCTCTAGGCAAATTTCTCCTTCCTCAATAAAGAAGACTAAAAATGTCAAAAGTAATAAAATCTGATTGGTAATTTCAATATGATCGCACTTAAACAAACAAGAAAAAATTAACTAATAATTAATATAACACTAATTAAAATTATAAAAATGTTTAAAGTTAAAAAATATTGTAAGGTAATTGGTGCAATTTTCATTTTGTTAATTGTGGGTAGGCTGTCTGTAACAACTATACCCTCGAGACATGTTACACCTCAGCCTCTCCCGTGACCATGGATGCTGTAAAGCATTCGAAACGTCGGGAACCAAAAATCAAAATAAATCCGCGAAATAATCCGAAAAAATAGTTTTATTTAGGTATTTAAAAAAAATAACTATTAAGTTTTATAAGGTTTATTTAGTATAGGTTGTGTAAGCGAATGTCGAAAATATAAATGAAAATTACGGTAATGTAGACTTCCGCGTGTTTTGAATGTGATTGGCATACAATATATTGTCCGAAGTCGAGGTGTGGCCGACTGACTGTCAGTTTAACTGCGTGAGACCAAATAGGTAAATTCTGTAACCATCCATCACCCAGTACATGTCATGGCATGTTCTATTCAACTTCGTTTTATTAAGCGATCAAAAATAGGTCGCGTAAAGTAAGGCTAGCGTAATTTATCACTGAAGTCAAGTTAACTAATTATAATCAGAATGGATATCGATTT